TATGCCATCGTGAATATCGACAACGCTATCACAACATGATTGACAATTATACATGCAATCATTTTTATCATTATTTGTTATTATTATTGTTATTATTATTATAATAATTATTATTACTTTTAGTAGTAGTAGTGGTAGTAATAGTAGTAGTAGTAGTGTTATCAGTGCAAGTAATATTACTATCGTGATAATTACTATTGTTATTGTAATTATTATCATTGTCATTCCTATTTATATTATCAAATTTCTAAGGTATATTTTAATCCATACCTTCGCATGTTGGATTTCATCTACAAGGAGTACCTTAAGCTTTTCAGTGCAGTTAAATGGAAGCCATCAACGTAGATGCTCTAGGATAGTAAATATGTACTGCTAAAACTATCAGATATCTGAAACTATCTAGTGAATCACAGGCTAAGTAAAGAGTTTTTAATGGCAAGGTTGTTGATGAACAGGTATTTTAACCAAGATAAAACACCTCCCAGTCATCAGGTGAAAAGAATAGTGTACCAGACAAGATTGTGGCTGGCTTATTTGCTCCTTTTGGTGTCTCGTAGTTGCTAAGATAGGTGTGTGAATCATTGTTGCTGTTAGAATTATCCGAAATGTAAATGTCCCAGCCATTTCCAAATGTTGGACCATACTCCTGATGCCTGTAAATTGCATTTTGTGGCTGTAAAACCATGCTCTTAAATGGATGCAGTTCTTCTTTGTTCCGTAGAGAAAATATGAACGCATTGGGAGTGTTGCCATAAGAACCAGAAGAATCTAAAGAACAAAAGCGTAGGTAACATTTAAACTAGTGCCCTGTTTGGGTAACAAAGTGGTTAAAGGGCCGCTGACTAGAACTCCGTACAGTGGAAATATCAGAGACTGATTTACTTAGTTTGGCCTTTCAAGGCACAATGAATTCGAAGTTAAATTTAAGTTTTTACCCCAAGTAATATCAGTGTATCCTCCAAACACGTACTGGCCTTTTTTGATGATGGTCACGGTGTTTGGTTTATGGTCGCAACTGGTGTGGAAGGTGCTTGCAGCCCAGCCGTGCGTGGAGGCGCGGTGGCACAGCAACCACTGTGAACTATTTCCTACAGCAGGCGACAAAAAATGTGACAGGTTGCCGAGAAAGTTTGTGTTGCCCACCAATATTGTAGAATTGATTAACATACCTAAGAAAAAATAACATAGTCCATCAAACTTGATTCAACCGCATTGCCTGTCACATGAACTTCGATCCACGAGGCAAAAAAAAAATAAAAAAAATCGCGTACGATATTTACCTTAGGAAGCTTCGCTCTTAGGTTACACCTTGCGCCTTGTTTGTTGGTCATTTTGCGATAGGATTTCAAAATAACCATACTCATAATCGTAATATTAATTAACAAGGAAAGAAGCCTTCACAAGAAGAAGAAAAAAAGAAGAGTAGGGGAAATCAGGAGACGTAGTACAAATTGGCAGATGGCGTGACAGCTTTAGCTCAGCCGATGTTTTGTACCCTGATAGCACACGCTCTTCCAACCAATGGCAGGGCACGTTATATCCGAACTTTATTTTAATAATAATTTAACAGTGGACATTCCATATGCACACATACATGCCCTCTTGTTTGTAACTCATTCAACAACAACAGTGGAAATTATCTAAGACTCATTATGCCTTAGCATTACTGTTGGTCCGTTCCATATAGATTCTAGGTTTCCGCACAACATGACCGCCGATTATTTCCATAAAGGCTCTTAATAGGCAACAAGTATTTTGAACAAACCTGGTTCACATCGCTTTCCAGAAAACCCCTGTCGACATCGGCACTCGAAGCTAATGACTCCATCGATGCAAGTTCCACCGTTAAGACATGAGTCTTTCTCGCAGTGCTTGATTACTTTAAAAGAAATCAATCAAAATCAAATTAAAAAATAGAAAAAAAAAGAAAAAAATATACATGATACGCATAAACGTTATTGAGACATTGGGAACGTTTTAAGTGAAACTATGGATTGCGGGGTGATTTGAAGATTATTCCTTTATTCATGTCCATTTAAAGCCTAAACATCCAATAGACCACCAAGAAGTTGTCATGTAACATTAGCGTCAACACTTCCTGTGCAATTGGAACCCAACGTATTCGCACTGCTTCTGGCTGAAATTTTGTACCCAAAGTATCGGTCTTGCGTTAAAGTTATGATGCAGCGCTGATTTAATTATTAATAAATGGCAGGAAATTTTTAATAATCTAGCACATTTAAACACCTCACCTGTTTCGCAGTCTTTCCCCTCAAATCCAATTTTGCAAACGCACACATAACTGTTTTTCTCGTACTGCGGTACGCAAGTGCCATAGTTTTGACAGGGTCCTCTGCTGCAAGGTGTCTAAAATGAAATTAGAAGTATAAACAATGAGTCAACCGGCAACTCTTGAACTTTGCTTCAGAAACGAGAGCGAACCTGCTTAGTAAACTAATTAGTTGTATATGTTTTCATACCCGATATGTATACAGGGCTAGTACAGGGCTCAAGCTTATGCCCATCTTAGGTCTTTAGCGGGGAAACTACGGTACACTTGTTTATGCCAGTGCAACCTAGGCACAAACTAGTGTCGTACAGAAATCAAGCAGTATCTGTGTGAGGCAAATTTTCCCAAGGAAAGATGACAATCACACCAAAAGAGAGATTTCGCTCCTTGTTAAAGTTTTGGAGGAGCCGAGTCACCTTCCAGCTGGATATCTCAGTAGTCTTCCTTCTTCTTAGTTGAGTAACTCCCCCCTTTCTTGTTTATAAAAACAACAGAATGATGATCATGTTAATAACGCGAGAATTTTAAAATAGAGACAAGTAGCCATAGAATTAATGATGCTATTAATATCAAACAATAAAGTTTTCTTTCTGTCAAAAAATTAAAAGAACGAAAGAAAGATCATATGTTCAAATCTA